GTCACAGTGTTGCGTCCGCACGCTTGCAACCCAAGCTCCGAAGTCTTTTGTGTACCAAGATATACTTAGCTTTGAAAAACCCCCATATGCCACATCGCCCTTCAAAAAAATTTCCAGTAAGTAAACTTTCTCCCCTTTTCAGCAACGCCTATGCAGTATTTATAAATTTGATCTTGGTGCAAACTTTTATTTTCAATGTTGCATATTTCCACTCCAAGTAATTGTTAGTGCATTAGCGAGTGATATCCGGACGGCTACGTCGTTGATGTTGATCGTGACCACGCGGTCAATTTCTATCCCGCGTACAAAAGTAGAGTAGAAGCGGCATGTAGTTTTCAACTTAAAAACGTACTGTTGACCGCTATTCGACTGCCTCTTCGCGCTAATTTCAACTTTACTAAGTTAGTTCGAACGGTCTCCTCCCTTTTCTCTATTGCAGTAAAATGCTAGAATGTGTTGTACTGTTTCGTACAGTACAGTTTCGAAACTGTTTCGTACAATTTCCATCAGCCTGACGACGACCTGGTGTACTAGTGTCTAAAATTTACGCAGTAAACCACGGTTTCTCAAAGAACTCCCTCTACAGACTAGTAGCCTGTCGTCAACGGATGTTCAAGCTTAATCCTACCTCTGGCGGCTGAAAAACGGAATGGCGTTCTTTTTTTGTTTTGGTTTCAGGTGTAGAATTTCCTGTCTTGGGTCCTGAATTTCATACCTGAAAGAGAAGAGGTAGTTTGCTTCGCCGCTGATTTCTCACGATATTACGTGCATGCTGTATGCGAAGCCAAGGTCGATGGGCAGCAATAGCCTCTACACCTGCGTCTCGCATTTAGAGAATTGCTAGGTAAATCCCCGCGCTGGTCCGGATTGATCTTTGCTTTGGGTGATTCTGGTTCCTCACATAGACGAACTCTCCGTTCGATTGTTTTTCCTTTATTGAACTGGCTCATTTATCCGCAACTAAACTCGAAGTCCCGCTCAGACCTCACTATCTTTTCGTCAGGGTAAAATTCCAAATGAGGGGACAGTCGGGTCGGGTCGTGAGCTCATTGTTTACTATCCAAGCTTAAATAATTAATCGTATGTATGTCATCTAAATCTTTAAATGCTTCGAGTCTAACCTGACATGCCTACTCCAATACTTTTTGAATGCCCATATCTTGTTTCCCGTTCATTCTAGACCCTATCGATCCGCCTTTTGTTTTCTATCGCAGGTGACTTCGTTAGTGTCAAGGATCTTGGTGGCAAGCGGGTTCTGCATGTGGAAGGCAAGGGGCTTACCTTACTTGCCGAGCAAGCGATGATCGACGTTGCCCACCTCCTTCGCCCAGCTCACTTGCAGGTATGCTCACACCTTTTTACAAACTATTTGCTTTCAGTCGCTGGCGAATATTTTGAAAGATCCAGAAGCGTCTGGCAATGACAAGTTCGTAGCCTTGGAA